GTACTTTTATCCATTTAGGTTGGAACATTTAAAATTAAAAAAAAACTTGATTGTTCTAATTTTAAATAACTTTTTTATTTGAGATTAGTTTTTTAAATATAATAAACAAATATCATATTACATTTATACAATAGTAAATATTTTCATTATTTAACATTTAATATGTAAGAAATATAACTCAATTAAGAAATTAATAGGTAATCTTGATATAAAATAATGAGTGGTTTCTATAAAATTACATGGACTAAAAAACCATGTGTTTAATGTATTTTTAAATAAAAACAAAAAAAAAAAAAACCAACTGTAAGGTATTCTACTGAAAATTTCAACGGATATTTCACTGGTATAACTTTAATTGAAAATTTTCATTGGCTATTCCAACAGAGATAATATTAAATTACATTAGAATCTAACTGATTTAACTATTCGAATTACAATTATTTATTTTTGAATTTTTCATTGAAATCTTTCTTGAATAATATTTCAACCGTTGGAAAACATAGCGAGTGGAATTGTAAAAAATTCAATGGAAGTTTCATTAGAAAGCTAATTGCAGTGGCAGATTCAAAATAATTTCTTAGAGGGGGTACTATACTATCAAAATAACATAATGCTTTTATAATTTATAAAATTATAATTTTTATTATGTCATATTTCTCACCTGTAATAAATACAGTCACGACAAGTTAAAATAAATTAACATAATATAATCATTGAAAATAATATGTTTTAAAATTTTTATGAGCAAAAAAATTATGTTGTGGTATCGTTGACTCGACAATATAATTAATAAAATAGAACTATAATTCTCCATACATTAGTTAAAAAAGACATGAAAAAAGTTAGAAAAAAAAATATGTTGCAAAAGAGAGAATAGAAGCTATCATCAAGATTAAAAAAAATAAAATTAAAAGGGTGAAATTATAATTTCTAGATTTACCTATTTTCTTTAGTTGTAAAACTGTGTTTATGTTATAAATTTAATAAAGTTATGAGCTGAATTGAAGTAAAATTGGTTGAGTAACAAATTAATTCATTATTTATCTTTTTTTTTTCTTTTAATTTTATTTTCAGAATAGGGGGTATGATTAATATTATGAAAAATGTTCCCACAATTTTTGTTATCTACATTATGCTATATGTTTTGGGAAGTGGCCATGTGTCGACCGTGTTAAAAAAAAATGGATTTGCTCATGATTCCAACAAAATAGTTTTGTTATAATTTTCATTGAAATAATTCAAATGAAAGGAATAACATTTACATATTCGTTAGAACTGCCGTTGAAATTCGATTGTAATATATTTTTGTCGAAATTGTCGTTGGAATTTCATCATTTGTTTTGTAGCAAAGGTACTTCTCCATTTGCGTTATATATACTATTGTGTGCAGTTTTTTTTTTTCAAGTGTGCAATTAATTATTATGAAAATTGTTGATAATGATTGAATATATAACACATGAAATGTAAATATAATTTACTTTATTATAATTAGTACTTTTTTCAAAACAAACAAGATACATCTAGGTTAAATGTTCTTACGTATTTTATTAGCATTTAATAACTAAACAAGAGTTAAGAATGATGTTCTATGTAATAGAAAATTAAACTTTACAATGCTCAAGCTTATAGTTCGCATTCAATCCAAAAGTAAAAAAAGTGATAAAATTCGTTAATGTCATCCATCAATTTGAGTTGATTAATGAGAAATATAAAACACACCTAAGATGCACATTTATTTAAACTAGAACTTTTAAGTACACAATTTATTTTTTTTTTTTCATTCAAAATAGGGATATTAGTATTAATTTTTCAATTAAATATTTCATTACTATCTAACATTAAATTTTTTACTTTCGAAATACTTAATATTTTTTTATTTGTTATCCTTTTATATGTAATATATCACACCATTTCTTTCCAATGATGTTTGATTTGACAGTCTATTGTAAATAAAATAAAAATATTATAATTGTTTAGTAGTATTTTGAGGGTAGTTGGTAACCGAGCTACCCGACCTCGAGTCGTTCTTAAAGGAAGACGGTTCGGAGCTACGTTCACCACTCAATTGTCCAAATCACACAAAATGGGAAAATAAAAGCTAAACATGTTAATCACTGAGTTGGAGAGTGAATTAATGCTAATTGATGCTTGAAATTGAAAGAAGTAATAAACGAGAGAATAAAGCAATTAACACTACCGGAGTCTCTATGCCATCGAAACCAAATGAATTCGACGATGAACAATATGCAAGTTCTAAGCACTAGGTCACTAACCCTAACCTTCTAACCTAGTAACTAAGCTCTAAATAGAGTCCTAATCCTTAATCTAAATAGGCAAGTAAATTGTCCCTACTAAAACAAGCAAGAGCAATGATCAAGTCCATACTTCCCATCCATCATCCAACAAACACTCAAATTCATCTTGATAGTCATCATAAGTAATAGCCTACAAGAATGGATGTATATTCTACTCATGGAATGCATATTCTACTCATGAATAATCGAACATGCATATTCGGACGCTAATGCGATGAATTGATATCAATTAATTCTCGCTTACGTAATCAACAACAAAATCACAAAATCCCTAGCCTACAAGGATGGATGCATATTCTACTCATGAAAGCTCTACTTTTACCCTAGAAAAATCTAACACGTAAAGACAAGAAAAATTTACGAGATCTTGGACATTAAACTAAGTCCCCAAATCTCTAGTAGCATCCACGAGAAGAAATAAGCCGAAAAGTTGCAATCTTGACGGAGAAATATTACAATAAAAATAGGGTCTTGGAGCCCTTAGAGAGAGTTAGAGAGAGAGAGAGAGAGAGAGAGAGAGAGTGAAAGAGAGAGATAGATTTTTTTTTTGTTGATGACAAAATTGACAAATGAGCAAATTTGTTGTTTTTTGGTTGATTATTGTTTATGTTGTTTTGGATATTTCTCATAATTATGTATGTCAATGAGTTTTGTTTTATTTTTAATTTTGAGTAGTTTTTGTGAATGGATGTTTGGTTTTTTTTGTTTTCAAAATTTATTTAATTTTATTCATAGTTTATGTTTGGTATATTAGGAAATTTATTTTGTTGAAGACGAAATTGACAAATGAGCAATTTGTAGTTTTTTTTGTTGTTTTGGTATACTAGAGATTACTTCAACATATACTCAATATATACTAACTATAAACGTAATATATAGTGGTCATTCAATACACCTGAGAGCTGAAAAATTTTACTTACTATAAACGCAACATATACTTCGTTGTAGCTGCAATTTTTATGAGAAAAAAGAAATGCATACACCGTCAATAAAACACAGTTAAAGAAACGAACAAAAGAAAAGTATACGGAACCCAATATTTCAGTCAAGTAAACAATACATATACCTTCAGTAGATTGTTGCAACATATACTAAATATATACTAACTATAAACGCAATATATATTGTTAATTCTTTTNGAAGGAGGCCAATGGCCTAGAACTTAGTTAGGCTAGGGTGCACCGAGGATAAGATACCCCCATAAGATCATGATCCAACCATTGCCCTAACCCACCAGGAGGATCCGACACACGCTGTAAACCAACCGAGGATGAAGTCGCCAAACTCGCCATATAATCCGCTGCAAAGTTAGCTTCTTTATGTATATGGTGGAAGCTCACACTCCAATTATTCTGAATCATGCTACGGATGGCCTGTACTATCGACGTATGTACCCTGAATTCTTCATCAGTACCCAGAACCATATTCTTCACACATATGATATCCACCTCTGCTATAACCTGACGGTATCCTAAGTCCCAAGCCAGTTGCAGTCCCTGAAATAATCCCCACAATTCGACACTCGTGATGGTACAAAATCCTATGTTCGTGAGGAACCCCGCGATCCATTTACCGACTTCGTTTCTAAGGAGTCCTCCCGCACTACCCATGCCAGTGGATTTGCCAAATGCCCCGTCTGTATTCACTTTTATCCATCCCGAAACAGGTGTAGTCCAATGTATTATACGTGTAACGTACACGCTGGCCCCCACTTTCGCGTATGCCGCGGTTGCTCGATTATAGTTCTCCACCATACGCAATACCTCAACTTGTTGGGCCTCATGGCTAATGGTGCGTTGGTTGAAGATCATTTCATTCCTCCACGTCCATGCTCGCCATGCAGCATACGAGAAGATGCTGCTCCAATTAGTGATCGACCCCAGTTTAGTTTTGCTTAAATTCTTCCTAAACCATGCCGGAAAGGGCTGTTGGAAAAATCGTGCACTTGTTCCTCCGGAATCAGTCTCCGCCACACTTCATTTGTCTTCGGGCAGTCACGCAGAACGTGGATCAACGACTCACACTCACCGCACATATCGCATAATTCTGAGCTTGCAATGTAACGTCGAACTCTCTCCAGGTTTGTCAAAATTCGGCCTCTAGCCGCAAGCCATAGGAAGTTACGGATTCAAAACACCTGACACCTGCGTGAATTACAATGCATATTTTTTATTTCTCTCTCTTAAAAACGCATAAGCTGCGTGAATTAACGGAGTCATATATATATTATATGCATGTTTTCATTTCTCTCTTAATCACGCATTTTTTTTAGTAACCAACGCAAATCAAGTGGAAAACAAGAGGTGGAGGTTGAAATGATATGGTAACTGATTAGAGGCATTAATTTGAATGAAACTTATCTTTTAGGTAAAAATGCAATTAACTGTATTTGCATGGTAAATTAGCAAAATTTTTCAAATCGTGTTCAAGAGATAAAAATTTCCTAATTATCAATCGTCACATCCCAATCCAATTGGGCTAGTCTAGTAAATTTCTCATTTTATTTTCTCTTTATATTGTTGGTACAACTTGGTCTCTGGCCCAATGCCTTCTATCGAAAGCAGGACACCCATTTAAGTTCATTAGGTCCAATGCAGGGCCCAATATCAAAACACCACCGCAATGGAAAAGGTTTCGAAGCACACGTATCACCCTTGCATGCCAGGTGTCCCTCCTTCAGACCACCACCAACAGTCGTACTCAGTACACATAAAAATGAACAAAAACAAAAAATTGCAGAAAATTGTGGAAAAAAAAAACAGAGGATAGGATGTCCTGGTTAAAGAAGGGGACCAAAAAAGTTTCCGATTTTGTCCTTACAAAATGGGCACCGGAAAAAGAACGCTTCCCGACATTGGAAGGCCACCCGGCGGCCCAACGACACGCGGAGCAAGTTCTCGATTCGCACGCAACCCTGAAAGTGAACATCAAGAAAGAATTGGGCCGGAAAAAGGAATTCAAGATTTACAGGTGGAGCCCCGATAACCCGACCCAGAAGCCTTTTCTCCAATCCTACTTCCTCGATCTTCCCAAGTGTGGGCCTATGGTAATTAATTATCTCCAATTTTTTGTTTTCTAGAAAATTAAGCTTCCTACATATATGTATGAGTTTTGGAATAATTATTTGGCAGGTTTTAGATGCGTTGCAGAAGATAAAAGCAGAGGAAGACTCGAGTTTAAGTTACAGGAGATCGTGCAGAGAAGGGATTTGCGGTTCGTGCTCGATGAACATTGACGGCATTAACACTGTGGCTTGCCTTAAGCCAATCGACACCAACACTAATCGAGCTACGATAATAACTCCTTTGCCTCATATGTATGTGATTAAGGACTTAGTGGTCGATTTCTCCAATTTCTACCAGCAGTACAAGTAAGAAAAAAGACCATTTTGTCCTGCTTTCTTACCTTTAAGAGTATGTGCCATTTGACTCACTAATTACTTAGCTGAATATTTTGGCTAAGATTCATGCTTTTTTGTATGTTAAGCTTACATTTTGTTACAAATGATCATAAAAACTAATTACTTGCTCAAATCATAAAAATATATTTAGTTGGCAAGTGAGAATTAATGCCTAAAGAAATTGATCAAAATTTTAAAATTTTAACTAGTTATTAGTGTAATGAATATCAAATCAATGTATTATTTTTGAAAGAAACCAATTAGGGGCCTAAAAATGAATATCACATCAACATATTAACTATATATGTAAGTATACAGGTTGATAGAGCCATGGCTAAAGAAGAAAAAGTTGTCCTCTGCTGACGGAAGAGAGAATAGACAATCTATAGCGGAGAGAAAGAGGCTAGACGGGCTTTACGAGTGTATATTATGTGCTTGTTGCAGTACATCTTGCCCGTCTTATTGGTGGAATCCCGAGCGCTTTCTTGGACCAGCGGCTCTACTTCACGCCTACCGTTGGATTTGTGACAGGTTAATTTATTTTGTGCATAATTAGTAGATATTTGGGAAAAAGAAAAAAAAAAGAAAGATAAAATCTTATTTGCAACGTCATTTCACTGTCAAAATATTAATTGATTGAGGCTATGCAATGTATTGTGACAAGAAATTGATTGCTCTTGTTTTGGTAAATGGTAATTAGCTTATTGAAACTTTTACTTGTCCTGAAGTGGGATTTTGTTTTTTGATTTATATTTTGGCAGTCGCGATGATTATACGGAGGAGCGGCTGGAGGCATTAACGGAGGACAAAACGCGTCTTTATCTTTGCAGGACTATAAGAAACTGCACGGCGTGTTGTCCCAAAGGATTGAACCCAGCAAACGCCATCAACAAGATGAAGACGAGGCATTTGCTTTCTTGGCCAGTTGAGGAGACAGAGGATGAAGAACAAAAGGGTTTTGGCCAGGCTTAGCGGCTTTTTTTTTTTTTAAAAAAAAAGTTCTTTAGTTTGAAGACGTGCTTCACTTACAATATTGCTGTCTCTTGTATTTCTTTTATTTTAGGCTTTTTAGCTTCCCTGTTAAAACAGACCTAGTCTTTTGTTTGTTTTTTTTTTTCAAGACAACAAACAAACTTGCGTTAACGCAAACAAAAGTAAAAGTCGAGTAACCAATTGGTGTTCACAAGTTCAGAATCCTACCAAGGGCAGCAGGTCGAGGTGAAATTTAAACGCGTTCCATAACCCTATTGCCCCTTACAAGCTTCAGAACAACAATCAGGCTAAGCACAAACTAGAACAGCAATCAACAGGCAAGAAGGCAAACACGCAAGAAGAAAATGAATCTACAAGGGAATATATATCAACTACATTGCGAAAGACAATTTACTATTTAGCTTCTTCACCAGCCCAAATGTTCAAGTCATTGTTCAAGGAGAAGCAGATAACATCAATTTTTTCATTCTCTCACCTTAAACAAAGCTCATCTTAGCCATCATTGTTCAAGTTATTGTTCAAGGAGCAACAGAAAACATCAACTTTTTCCTTCTTCACCTCAAACAAAGCCCATCTGACTGCTAAAAGAAGAGCCTCCTCTCGATTCCCTGTGAACTCCTTTGTAGTTACCTAAGTGAGCTTGAGTTCTCCCTCAACCCATAAAGAACCTCTCAGTCCAAGCAACCCTACCTTAGAAAGATCAGCATTGACAATTACAATCTGCCCTACTTTAGCCTCTGCTTCCTCTAAGAATGAATTAATAAAGCGACTGGATCTTTCTTGGTTCTCCACCTCCAACTCAGAGACCTCAGAAAATTCCAACCACTCTTCTTTGGCAATTTTCACAGTCACTTCGCGCTGGACCCAATCCTTTTGAAACGCCCATAGGTTTCTTGTCTTCCAAAAGCACCATAAGAGGTAGGTTGAAAGACAAGTTCTGTCAACAATGAAAGGGCACCTCTTGCCTGTGCAGATGGAGTGTCACTAATCTCTAAATTTGAATTCAGGACTTTCCGTGCCATTCCATGTAATCCCTATCAGTTTCCAGCATAGTAAGGATCTTTGGGACTTGAAAAATAGGTGCTTCAAATCTTCATTATCCCACGACAGACTTCACATCTCGACTCACTTGTCAGTTGTGTTTAGTACTCAGGTATCCAAACCAAGCTCTCCATATGAAATTCTTGATTTTGTTTTTTTATCTTCAACCTCCAAGTTTCTTTCCACATTACAGCCTTTTACCATCTAGGATTGCTTGTTTTCCATTTACCATGCACCAAAGAATTCAGCTTCATCAAATGCTCATACACAACTTTCACTGAGAAATCCACTTTACTGCTCCAAGGCCATATCACTTTATCTCTAAGACCATAATGACCCAGAGGTATTTTCAGGATTCCCTCTGCAATAAGAAGTGAGAAAGTTTGATACACAAGATCTCTATCCCACTATTTTATGAGCTCACTCACTCTATCAAATCTTGCTCTATCTCCTGAAAATGAGGTGAAGGGCTAAAATTCAAAATAGAAGGGACCCAGGGAGAGCCCCAAACTTGAATCCCATCTCCATTACCCACTTGATATCTAGCCCCCAACCTAAGAGATTTTCTAGCCTCAAGCCAGCTCTTCAAAAGCCAAGAGTATGAGATTTTTGGTTTAGCATCTAATAGTTTTTCTTTCCAAAAATATATGCCCTTCATAGCCCTAGACTGACAAATTGGGTTGAATTAACAGTCTCCACTACTGTTTAACCAACATAGCTTCATTGAACACTCTCAAGTTTTTAAAACCCAATGCTCCACAACTCTTAGTCTGAGCTACTTTATCCCACCCTGCCCAGTGTATTCTCTCACCTCCAGACTCAGTTTTATCCCACCAAAACCCAAAAACACTCCTGGAAATATCCTTTATTTGTAACAGGAAGTCTAAAGCAAGACATAACATAATTAGGAAGGGCATAAAGGACAGTCTTAATAAAAAATTCTTTGCCTCCTTTACTAAGAAAATTATTCTTTCGTTACTAAGCCTCTGAGACACTCTCACTCCCAAAATGAAAAACTTGCTTTTTTTGACCTGTCTATCCCCAAAAGAAGGTTAAGGATTAACGTCAAGCATCAAAATCTTGTGCTAGACAGGCAATAAGATAATTTCAGTATATGTTGCTGTAATAACTAGTATATACTACAATATAAATGGTTTTAGGTAGTACCAAAGAAATGATCTGTAAAAGCTATAAAATGTTACGTAAAAACTCTGAAATGTTACTATAGACAATAGGTAATACAATATTGGCGCTACAGTTGTTTGTGCTACCTACAGGTCAAAGGTAATACTTTTGGTAGTTTTTTGTAACACTTATATGATACTTTTGCTCATTTTTGGTAACACTTATATTAAAAGTGTTACCTAAAGTCATTTATGTTGTAAAATTTAGTATGTATTGCGTTTTTTATCTACATAATATTTATCTGCCTCGCCGCCGCTAATTTCTCCCCAAACATCACCACCATCTCTTCCTCCCTCATCTGCCATACTCGTCGACTATAAGAAGGGCGAGAAAACTGTTGGTCTGAACCGACTCAAGTCCTGCTTCCACCGGATCGGCTAACTCTACCCTAGCCCCTCCACCAACCTCTCTTACGACCTTTTGGACAACGGCCTGGAGTTCTCCATCCGCTCTTACTGTCGTCGCCCGCCGTCTGCTCATACGAGAGAGAGAGAGAAAGAGAGAGAACATTGTTTATAGATGAATTTTTTAATTATGGTAATTTAATTAAGAATGTGAGAGGGAATATTCAGTTACGAATATTAAGGAACCTACACGTTTTGTTTTGGTAACTGACATTAGACATATTCATATTTATTCAGTATAGAGTTAGTAATAACGCTAATAAATTAACTGAGTTGTACTTTTTCAAAAATTTTCAAATTTACAAATGAATCAAACATTATTGCCGGTCAAGATGGGGGCCCAAATTCAGGCCCAATCTCAATACATAAATCCTCGTTTAACGTCTAGACAAATGGAGCCCCAAACTGGCCCACATAATGCACAAACTTTGGTTGTACGCTTAGTTAGATAAATAAGGCCCCGAAAAAAGCTCACTCACTTCTCAAAGGATTTCAATTTATTTGGTTGGACTCTACATTCGCAAAAATGTTTCAAAGATGCGACCCAGCCCACAAAAGTCCCAAATACATTTGCACAAATTGATGCTATTGACCTTATAATTTGCTCATCTCTCTCTTTTCCTTCCTTTCCTTTTTTCGACTTTGCCTCAAATATTCTTGAGCTACCAAGAAATAGCCAAATGCCTAGGCAATTATTTGCGCCAATTTGAAATGTAGCTTTCACAGTTCAACTTTCCATGACACTGGGGATAAAAAAATGTATAGATAGTTGTTTTTTATTTATTCGTTGGCAATGACAAATAAAATCAGAGTAATTGATTTTTATTTAAAGCAAGAGACCTGGATTCCTTAATCAGGTGTCTAATATTGTTGGCATAATATTGATTTTCAATGGTAAGTCCTAACTGTCGTTAGCATGCAATTATTGACATGAGCAACAAAGAACATATATAATTAGTTAAATTTCAGCCACGATATAATTGATACCCAAATCTTATACGCACCAAAGATTATTTGCATTGTGATCTCGGTTAAAAGCTCTTTTCAGATTTGCAAATCAACCACAGAAAAAAAATGTTTATTCTTAATAAACGGTCCCTAATTAAGATTCCAATTTGTTTCACTTACTCAAATGAAAAGCAAAAGGAAGAGATTTTTTTATTTTATTTTATTTTATTTTATTTTTTTTTAATAATAGATGATCATGGCGGCCACATCTAAGGGCAAATAATTGGATGCACTTGTTTTGCACTATTATTTTACTAACTTTTCCATTTGAATACACCAATTATTCACCTCTGAAGATCTGTCAGCAATTAATATGCATTTTCATTTAATTATTTTATAACATATATAGATGCCAGAGGAGGGGCATACAGATTGCAGAGTCCATTAATATGTTCCCCATAACAATGGCATCTGAAGCTACATGCTTGTCCCACGTGACACCACACAGGCCTCCTTAAATCCAATTAAATTAATATAACTACACATTTAATTTCTAGTATACATGAATAATGAATTCATGCATGCATGATTATTTCTTGTTTGTTAGGTACAATTAATTTCGTATAGAAATTGAAAATTGCAATGTGTAGGTTGGAATTGCCACCCTCCCGAACACGTACGTGGCAAAAATATATTGTGCAAGCAACAAGTTATTGGACCAATTTTGCATTTTTACTTCATAAAATGCAAACAAATTTCTAGAACACACCCAACTCTAATTATATTTTGTTGAAAAAAAAGTTTTTGAGTAATTAAGCCAATCATATGCCGCTAAAATTACTTAGAGTATATGTGAGAATGAAAATCTAATTAGAAGCATGTTTGTAGGGTAATTATCAATGTTTTCTTGGGATACGGTCAATCCGGGTATTGACCTAGTCGGATCTACTCGGTTTGACCAACCACTAAATATTTTTTTTTTACTTTTTTATTTTTAAAAATAGAATTATGTATATATATATTTATTGTGCTAATATTTATGAGGAAATGCAATATTACAAAGACTTTGGGTATAAAATCTATATATAAATATTTTTTTTATTATTTTATGTATAGTTATAACATAAAAATACTATACATATAATTTAAAATTTTAGAAAATTATTAGTTAACCTTTTCAGCAAGCGATATGGTGACTCGACAGTTGGACTGGTAACTTAATAATTCGGAGTCAAGCTCAGATCAATCACCTGTCCAAATTTTAAAATTGGTAAATATAGTAAATTCTGTTTTCATAAATATTATCTTTGTGAGTATTGAATGTCATGATCTAAAAAGTAGGTATTATTAATTATGAGCATATGTTTCCATGACCATGAGACTATAAACATGACCTATTTCAAAGGTGCAGCTTGGAAGTGGAGTAAATGGTCTGTTGCATAAATTAATGGCAAATCCAAGTTTCCAAGTGAAAGCTAGCACCCCTATAATAATGAAGGCTCGGCCCTCAAGGCAGGGACCAACTCCCAAGACAAAAACACGTGTGAACAAATTCAATTTGACACGTATGGTTTTAGGACCATTATCACCCTTGT